TGCTTGTTTTTTCAATCAAATCTCAGGTAGTAGACAGATTTTATTAGTTATGCATTTTGTGTGTGTGTGTGTGTGTGTGTTTGTGTGTGTGTGTGTGTGTGTGTGTGTGTGTGTTGGGGATTGTGCTAGTGCATTAGAACTGAATGCACTAGAGTTTAGAGCGGGCTAGGCAAGCACTCTGCCAACTGAACTCTATCCCCAGCCCATGGAGAATGGCTTTCAATGTATGAATTTGCAGCACACAAACTTTCAGGCCAAACACTTAGAGTTCCAACACCTAACACATCCAGGCTACAAACAAAACCAAAGTTCCGTATCCCTGAGCCCACCTGGAGATTAAATATCATTCATCATTAACATTTAAATCTACACACACACCCATCTATTTCTGTCCCAAGGAGGTGACTGGCCCCATACTTATGAGAAGCAGGACTGGGCTTTTCCATTGGCTTCTGGAGCCTGGGCCAGCTGGGTGCATCCTGGAGAGCCAGGTGGGGTCCTGAAGTTGCCTCTTATTCTCTGTGGCTCTGCAGACACTGTGAACCCCACACTGACACAATCACAACACAGCTGTGAAGATGTTTCCCTGTGGGGTGTGTCCTGGAAGAGGCCTTGACATGTCAGGAGGTCCAGACAGGTAGCAGAAGGGATTCTTGTCCCTGGCTCCCTGAGGACCTGTCCATCCAGAATCTTTCAGAATTTCATCTGCAGCCTCCTGACCATCCCCCACTCACTATGGCATCCACATGATTGACTTTCCCTCTCACCTCATTGATGTCCCTAAACTTTTTTGGCCCCTCCAATAGAAACCCTCTCATCTTTTATCTCAGTAATCAAAAGTGCCAAATAAAGCTCAATATGCCCTTTTGTTCCTCCAAAGCATTTTCTCTCTGTCATGGAAAGGCTGTATCCCTAACTCCATGAACCCTGGAGTCCATGGACCCTATACCCTCCCTCTCACCAACTTACCTCTTTGTGGCGCTAGTTTTCCCAGGAAAGAAAGTTCCCTCTTTCACCCAGTGCATTTAAGCCCCACCACATGGCACCATGCCCTTTAGGGCTCAAGATGAAGATTGCCGTGTTTCCCATCCTGGACACCAGGGGGCAGACGAGGACAGCAGTAAGTCTGGGCAGACTGGATCTCTGCAGAGGTGAAAAGACCTTTTAGTTCCTTTTAGAGTACAGGGACTGGTGCATAATCCTTCCACTCTGTGCTGCAAACATCCTTTGTGCTCCTGCTGCAAACATGCCCCTGTATGGTTTTCAGTTCTGAGCATGCACAGGATGCTTCCTAGAGTGGGTCCTCAGAGTGTTTTTCAGACTTTAAGTAGTCTCGGTAGCTCTTTTCAAGAGCTTTTTTTTT